AAAAGAAAGTACAAGGCACATTAACGAGAAATAATTATTAAACTTTTGTTTGCTTTGTTAATCAAACAGTTTCGAATCTGGCTTATTACAATTAATTTCACTGAATTGAAACTATATACGTCTCAGATCAGAAAGTTTTCAAACAATCTTCTTTTAAATAATACAGACTAGAATTTTATTATAACGAGGTCTGTTAATATCTTGAACAGTATCTCCATCGTATAGTTCCGGTGAGAATATGAAAGTGTGAATAACATAACCTAACTCGTTACGGTGATGCGTATACAAATATCATTCTAACCCGGAATTTTTTAACACCGCTACATCTTCGAAATTATTCCAAGATTTTTCCAAATTGATACTTTTAGCTTCTACGTATTTGAAATGAAAAAGAACGTTTCACAATTAAATCTTTTAACTAAAAAAAAACCCAAAAAATGGGATGAGAAGGATCAAAGGGATTTTCAGAGATGGTACTGTTACATTACGTCCAAGTGTGCATAGATGTATATAACCTACACCTGATCATTTTCATCTTTCTTATGTCTTTAATGTTTTCTCGTAACATTTAATATTTTCAATATTTTACTCTCAACGATAGAGAAACTGAGATACTGCTTTCTCAGAGACTGAAATTTTTATAGAAAGAAAGAAACTTGTGTCGAATCTGTGGATCAATTGATGACGTGGGTCAACGTTGGACATTAAGCAGTGCTTCAACAACGAATTCTCTTAATTATTTTGCCACAACAGCGATTAAAAAAATAAAAATACGATATAAATACGTAGCACGGATATACAGCATTTCGAACGGCAAAATTTGTGCAATGATAGTTCGTCGTAGGCGAACAAACAACAAACAGTCGCAAGTGCAAAGCGCCAAGTTTGATTATGAACATATTTCCACCAGTTGCGTTGAAAATGTTCGACAAGACGAGGTAAGTAATAAAATCGTATAATACAATTTTTTAACTGTACTTAAAGTTCGTTTGAAATTCCTTTTTGTTTGTTTGTTTATTCGATACTGTCAATATAAATATCAACACGAATTTATTTTTCATCATTGAACGTTTGACATAATTTTTTCTCAAACTTTAATATATTTAGTGTATCTGTTTAACAAATATAGTCCGTATATATACATACTTATAGCACAATCTACTTTTTTTAACAGAAAGATGAAAAAATCGGCTCAAATGTAAGTGAAAACTTCAAGACGCTGGAAGCTCCAGCGAATACAGCGCCAAAAACTCGAATTAAAATCAGTCTCGAGATTGATTTAATTTCAGTTGTTTTACTAGTATCCGGAATTATTACTCGATTTTATCGTTTGGAAGAACCACGGAGTATCGTGTAGGCTGTCCTTTGTATTTATATTGTTTTTGTATTTGCATTATTCGTGTTATTTTTTATATCTACATTATTTTCTAATGTAAATATTCTAATAATTAATTAATAATAAAAATTGTCGTCGATTTGCACATACATACGATCGTCATGCGATTTTATATTAATTATTGATGCTATTTAAAACAGGTTCGATGAGCTGCACTATGGGAAATACATAGGACTTTATATGAAGAGAACATTCTTTTTTGATTCACATCCTCCATTGGGGAAACAACTGATTTCTGCGGTAGCATACTTGGCTGGTTTCGATGGTCAATTTAAATTCGACAGAATAGGAAGTCCTTATGCGGATGTTGTCCCTTTATTCGCGTTACGATTAGTACCAGCGTTATGTGGCAGTTTATTAATTCCAACGGCGTATCACTTGATTTTGGAATTAGGTCTGAAACAATGGACCGCTGCTTTGGCAGGAACTTTGTTATTATTTGGTAATTTAAATTTATGGTATTACAAAATATTTTTATTACAAAATGTACAATCAGTTAACGCATTTATCATTTTAGATAATGCATTGTTAACGCAGTCTAGATTTATTTTAATGGAAAGCATTCTAATGCAGTTTTCGTTATTTGGATTAATATGCATAATGAGATTTAGAAAAGTAATGGATCAACCAACGTGTTTATCTTGGTGGATATGGTTAACTTTGGGTGTTACAAGTTTAACATGCGCAATATGGTGAGAGCTTTAAATATTTGGTTGGTCGAATCACGTTCTAAAGCAAATTTATTGTTTTAAATTTAACACAACCTTTCTTTCAGTGTAAAATATGTTGGACTATACTCGTTGATCCTTGCATTATTTTTAATTGCTTACGATTATTGGAATTTAATACCAAGAAAGAATTTATCTAACACGATGTTGTGCATTCATCTTTTGATAAGAATATGTATAATATTAAGTGTTATTTGCGCCGTTTATTTGACTGTGTTTTACATACACTTAACGATACTTTCTAAAGCTGGACCACATGATTCAGTAATGACAAGTGCTTTCCAAGCAAGTCTAGATGGTGGTCTCGCTAGCATCACAAAGGGCCAACCTCTGGAAATTACACATGGATCGCAAATCACCTTGAGACACACGTACGGAAGAGCTTGTTGGCTTCACAGTCATAATCACATGTATCCTTTAAGATATCCAGATGGAAGAGGCAGTTCTCATCAACAACAAGTTACGTGTTACTCGTTCAAAGATGTCAACAATTGGTGGATTGTGAAAAGACCAGAACGAAATGATCTAGTTGTTACTAAACCAAGCGAACCGATAAAACATGGCGACGTGATACAATTAGTACACGGAATCACAAGTCGAGCGTTAAATTCGCACGATGTTGCTGCCCCGATGACACCTCAGAGTCAAGAAGTATCTTGTTACATCGACTACAACGTATCCATGGTTGCTCAAAATCTTTGGAAAGTGGAAATTACCAACAAAGATAGTACTGGCAATGTCTGGCATGCGATTCAAAGCCAGATTCGATTAATACACGTAAATACGGATTATGCGTTAAAATTCAGTGGAAGGCAGTTGCCTGATTGGGGCTTTAACCAGCACGAGGTAGTGGCAGATCGATTAATAGATCAAACAGATTCCATATGGAATGTTGAAGAACATAGATATACCAAAAGCGAGGATCAGAAACAGAGGGAGAGAGAACTAATCAACGCGGAAATGATACCATTGCAAGCTACTACTTTGAGTTTCTGGGAGAAATTTGTAGAATTGCAAATAAAGATGCTTTTCAGTGGTCAAGAGGGACAAAGCAGTCACATGTATTCTAGCGATCCTTTAGATTGGCCGTTAATGTCCAGAGGAATTGCATACTGGATCTCCAATGACAGTAATGTAAATATGCATTATTTGATTTTATTATTAGAATTCAATAATATTCGTCATCAGTTATTAATACCGATATATGTATTTTTATAACAGGCCCAAGTACATTTGCTAGGAAATATAGCAATTTGGTATTCCGGAACGGCGTGTGTAGCAATATATTCATCTCTTTTGATATTTTACATATTGAGACGAAGGCGAATGTGTTTTGACATTACACACGAAGAATGGAACAAATTTTTCAACACTGGAAGCATATTATTAGCTGGATATTTCTTACACTTTTTGCCTTTTATATTTGTCGAAAGGACTCTGTTTCTTCATCATTATTTACCAGCATTTGTGTTTAAATTATTGCTCACAGCAGCAACAATGGAACACCTATATTACATAATTAGGTACGTTGATGGATCACGTATGAAATATTTTTAAATTAATTTTATTTTATTCGAAAAAAAGAATGGTATGGTTTCCTTTAAGAAAAAAAAATTAATCGTTCCAATTGCACTGTTTATTTGTTTATAGAAATATGCTCACAAAATTTAACACAGTTTCTTTGATTTCTAGAATTCGATGTCGGCACAATTTTTTAGTATACACATTCAAGTTCTGCACTGTTATATGGGTGATCTTTATTGTTTATACATTTAAAAAGTTTATCGTACTTAGTTATGGTACAACTCATTTAAATGCCAAGGAAGTTTTAAAGTTACGATGGAAAGATACATGGGATTTCATTATACACAAAAAGTAATAGACTAAACTAAATACGTAAAGTATTTTCAAATATACCATACATATATAAAATTGTTATTTGCTGGTATCAAAAATTATTTAATATATATTACTTATATACAATTGTATATTGATATTATAATGCACAAATTTTAATAATTGTAAGAACAATGTTCAAGGTACAAGATTAATTCACATAAATGTATTATTTTTTTACTTTTTTACATTACAAAAAGTACATATTTCACACACACACACACACACACACACACACACACACACACACACACA